TATATATATGTAATTCATTTAGCCATTAGGATATCAACCTCTTGGCAAGTATTTATGCAACAACTATTACAGACCAAATGTGCTGTTAGGAGCTGTGAGAAAACAAGAAACAAGTCAAGAAAATGCCCAGCTTTGGGGAAACATACAGTCTTATGCAGAGAGACTAATAGGTAGAAAGTGAATCAACACTACAATGCAGTCCCCTCTTGTAGAGTCAGGAGAGTGGCAAGCTCAACAGGGAGTCAAGGTAATAGATGCCTCCACAGACCATCTCTGGCCATTACTCTCATGCTCCCCGTCTCTGGAGTCCACTCCTCCCCTCCTCTGCCTGTTGGAGTTCTATGCATCCACAGTGTCTTGACTCCTAGTCCCAACTCGACTCCACCAGCTGTTGTGTGGCCGCATGTCATGTCACCACACTTATCTGAGTTTTAGTTTCAAGATGATCCGTGCCTGCTCTGACAGAATTTACAGTCCCAGCAACGACTATACTGACATTTGGCACCAGGTCTGAGTGCAGGGGAGGGGGGAAAGGGTCAAACCAGTGACCTGACCATCTCTCTTCTCATTCACAAACACTGGAGACCAGTTGCAGATCATTCAACAGGAGCAAATCCCTTCATTGCCCCAAACCTTTTTTCTCATTTGCTAGAGCAGCCAAGAACGGGGTGGGGCTTCCACCTATGAAAAGTAGAAAGCTTGGCCGCATTCCCCTGCCCCCCACCCCTGCACAGGAGAACATGGCCAAGCGGGTTGCAATTGTGGGAGCCGGGGTCAGCGGCCTGGCCTCCATCAGGTGCTGCCTGGAGGAAGGTTTGGAGCCCACCTGCTTTGAGAGGAGCGATGACCTTGGGGGCCTGTGGAGATTCACAGTAAGTGGGGTTTCAACCACTTTGTTGTGTCTATTTAGAAAAGGACTTGACTGATGCAAAAAGAGACTGAATTTTGTTCACAAGGGCCAGCTGCTCTGGGGACGGACTAGAAATATCTGCTGAACCAGGAAGGGCCACTGAAAGAAAAAAGCAGGGCACAGCCTGAGCTTAAGTGGAAGGCGTCAGCCGCCTTACAAACTTTATCCAGAGCCAAGAGGAAGAAAGTGCCTCTGAAGGGCTGCGGAAGAGGTTGGAGTGGCTGGGACGGGACAGGAAAGCCCAGGACCAGGGGAGCAGAAGCAGAACCAGGGGGCTGAGGCAAGACTAGGGACCGCAGTGTTTGTGGCAAAGGTATAAACACAGCGCAGGAAGTGCAGCCTCTGCCTGCAAGACTGAGCTGCGTGTGCCTGCTTCTTTTTCTAGCCCGGCTCTATCTGAAATTAAACAGCACAGGGCTTAGTGTACAATGGGTTCTATCCTCAAGGTCCTGCTTTCCAGGCAATCTCAGTCCATGCCAAGAATAATCAGAAGTCAAGAATGCGGTTTGGAGACTTGTTCCCTGAGTAAAAGAAATACTCTCAAATCTCAGCAGGGCTACAGTCTGGACTGGAGATAGGGTTGAGGTGAGGAAGGAGGACAGGGGACTATACAGGCCAGCGGTGACTGGTTTGGGGTCCAGGGGGTTATAGGGGCCCTGCTGGAGGCACCTGAAACCCCATGAGCTCCATGGCTCAGCCTAGGAAATATTAGCATTAGATCTCCCCAAACCTCCAATTTTCCCTCCTTCTCAGGAGGGCAAGAACACTTCCCTTGAGCCTGAAATGTGCTGTGGAGGAATAGTGAAAGGGAGCAAGGTGTCAGGTATCCTGGCCTCAGAGTCCCTGAAGGGCTAGAGAAAGAGAACATTCCTCTATTACAGAGGGTAGTATTTGGAACTGGAATAAAGTAATTGTTTTCTAACTCAGTGAGCAAAGCTCCAGAGAGGCCAAGGTTGCATAGGCCAGCTGGGCTCACATAGAGAAGAACTGTGTATCTTGAAATGTGTCCAACCACTGAACATGACCATCATTGCGTACAGACCTCCGAAAGGGAACTGATGAAAGAGCACAGCTGTTCCCATGATTCAAACTGCCTATGTTCCAATAGGATAGCAGAAACCCAATACTCAGGTCATTGTAAACCCCACCCCACCCCCGCCGCTGCCACCCCAAGTCCATTGAAGACACTGTTAATCAAGCATGATACCCCGCCCCCTCTGATGAGCCTCAGAATCCTTAACACAACACTCCAGAGAAGCACCACTAATCTATCAGAGTGGGGACTGAAACTGCCCAATTAAGGGCACTTCTAGTAGTGTTTCACCATACACACGGTTGTCAAACCTGGAAACCTTTTACCTGCTTCCTCTCCAAAGTCCTAAATCCCATAAATTGCACCTTACTGCTGCTTATCGATCCCACCTCTCTTGGTTTCAACTATCATTGCCTCTGCTCAAGCCCTCATTAGCAAGCACATGGATTTGTGTCTTAGGCTCTTAATTAAAGCTTCCTTCCTTTCCAGATCCCTCTAATTCACCTTTTAAAGAGCCAGAATTAGCTTTCTGAAATTCCACATTCAAACATTAGGAAGATTGCCATAACCTTCCTATAAAGCTTCCTTCCTTTTCAGATCCCTCTAATTCACCTTTTTTTTAATTGCTTAAAATATTACAAAGAGTAGTACATTTGTCTCCTTTTTTTTCCCCCCTTGACCTTCCCCCTAATTCACCTTTTAAAGAACCAGAATTATCTTTCCAAAATTCCACGTTCAAACATTAGGAAGATTGCCATAACCTTCCTATAAAATCCAAATTCCTTACCTTTAGATATGAAATCTTTCATAATCTGAACCCCGTTTCTCCATAATCAACAGCACCCCATGAAACCAAAGAATCCAGGAATTGCCCATCATTCAGATACTACTACTTCCTGGCTTCCATCTATTTCCATATTTTCTTGTACTTCGCTGTGATATTGTGTGAATCTGGACAGGTGAGTTCATCCCAGGTTTATTTGTTAGCACGTGATGAGTGAAATTATAATTCTGATCATAAAATTCATAGTGGGGCCCACTGTTCATCATCTCTCAAGGGCAGGATAGCAAATCCCACTAGAAGGTGACAGGTGACATATATCGTCTGGATCACCTTAATATTGGTCAATGTGTGGTTGTCTAATAATTAGCATCCATTTCATGGGTGTGCCCTCACATGTACAAACACATCCACGCTCATGTGCACACACTGTCTGTACAGGAACATGTTGAAGAAGGCAGAGCCAGCCTCTACAAGTCCGTGGTTTCCAACAGCTGCAAGGAGATGTCCTGTTACTCAGACTTTCCATTCCCAGAAGATTATCCAAACTATGTGCCCAATTCTCAATTCCTGGAATATCTCAAAATGTATGCAAACCAGTTCAACCTTCTGAAATGCATTCAATTCAAGGTAAGACACAGCATCAATCAATAGTCAGGAAGTACTGTTTAACCTATTTTTTGTGCTCTCTCTATAGCCTAGTCTTGGAAAATAAACTGGCAAGACTGATGTGACCTGGCTAGATTCCTTTTTCCCTTGTACTTAACCACACCCCAAGTGAATCTGAAGTTGGAGGTAGCTACTGTGTGTAAAGATTCACATGCATTACATTTTAATTTGTAATACTTATATACAAATATCCTAAGGGGCCTTAAATATATCTAACTACATTTTCAACTTGGGGCAAATGCCTGCAAAGAGGGGAACTGAGAACTATCAGTGCCTGGGTACTCTCTTCTTTACTATCCTTTGATTGGGATTGGCATGTACAATGGCCCATACACATGAGAACCTCACTATTTGAGGGGAAACTTTTCTCAGTATCCTTGGGAATAGAAAAATTTTTAAATATTATTCTTCTCACTGACCCTACCAATCTCCTTCCCATTTTGGAGGACAGAGAGGGAGGAAGGTAGAAGGACATGAATAAGTGAATATATCATCTTTCTCTTTCTTATCTCCTTTTCCCATTCCTCTCCAAAAAAAGAAAATTAAAATCCATGTGTTTCCCTTCTCCTGTTTCCCTCCCTATTGAAGATGGGTATGTTGAGGAATCCATAAGGAACTACACAGAGAAAGCAACATAAATGGGAAGATTGATGGAAACAAGTAACAAAAAATATTTATATTCACAACCTTTAAAGTACTCCTGCTCAAAACAAACTCAAAGGCATATCTCCACCTCCATGTTCACTGCAGCATTATTTACAATGGCCAAGACATGGAACCAACCTAAGAGTCCCCTGATGGATGAATGGATAAAGAGAATGTGGGTGGGTGGGTGGGTGCGTGTGCGTGTGTGTGTGCGTGTGTGTGTGTGTGTGTATGAATGTACTTCAGCCATTTTTTGAATAGTAGAAGGAAACCCTGCCATTTGCAACAACATGGATAGACCTTGAAGGTATTATGCTAAGTGAAATAAATCATACAGAGAAAGACAAATATTATATGACCTTACTTAAATATGGAATCTAAAAATCTGAACTCATAGAAACAGAGAATGGGTTGGTAGTTGCCAGAGATAGCCCAATTCAATTTATAGGGTTATACTTATTAATTATGTAGAATCTGTGCTCTAGAATGTTTGAAATGTCAACTGGCACATCAGCCTTTACCGGAACCTTGACAACTACTTATCACATCTGTGATTCTTTCTTCAGACTGAAGTGTGCAGGGTAACGAAACGTCCAGATTTTACTGTCACCGGCCAATGGGAGGTGGTCACCCTGCATGAAGGGAAGCAAGAGTCCGCCATCTTTGATGCCATCATGGTCTGCACCGGTTTCCTCACTAACCCACATCTGCCACTGGACTCCTTTCCAGGTATAACATTTTCTGCAGTTGACCTTAATTTGTCTCATGGAGCTATCCTGCTACTTGGTTTGTCTGGGAATGAATGCCTATGGCTCCTCCATTAAGTAGTTAAAGCTGTTAAGTAATAGGTCTTTTTCGTAGTCTGCACTTCCTAACCAGTTTTTGGCTTTCATGTGTTCCAAACAACCTATGAGTACCAAAGAATAGAATGAATAACTAACAAGCAGTTTTACGCTTCACTGAGGTTCAATGTCCCTCCTTAAGACATGGGATGCCTAGACAAGTTGGTAGCCTACGCACATTGCCAAAGTTGAGTTTAGAGGCCACCAAAAGTCAATCAGTGACTAAAGGAAAAAGCAGTTTGATTTTTTCGGGGTTTTTTAATTATATGAGTCATAGCAATTACCATGGCACTGTTACAATCACTCATCAACAGGGAGATAAGTCTTGGGAGGCAAGTGAAGACATCTTTTTCTGTCTTTTGCAACTAAGATTCATGTTAATCGCCATCAAATATCAATTGGGTTACAATTCAGAGGGACTAGAAAATGCAATAGTTGGTTTATTTCCTCTGCAGTAAGTATTCAAAAAGTTAGGAAATTTTTTCCTAAATATGACCTGTAGTGATTTCAAGGTTCATCTTCCAATAAATTCACATGTTTCCACTGGTTCTCAGTCTGCCCCCAGAGGTTACTCAAGTCAGGTCAGGTTAAGATAAAGCATATCCTGAAAACTGCCACAGGACAGAATCATTGAAGGAAAGCAACAAGTTCAGTCTTCTTCCCGATGCAGGAAACTGCTACATTATCCCTGAGAGAGGCTCACCATCTCTGCTCGAACACATTCAACAATGGACTCTCACCACCCCACATGACAACCCAATTCTTCGTCAGTTGTTGCCTACAGAGAAAATTACTGAGCAGTGAGCTACTCCAAACTCCTAAGGAGTGCCTAGTATAGGATCACTCCAAGAATCAAGAAAGTTCCATAGCATTGAGAGTGCACTGCATTTATTTAGCACCTATAGTATATTGCACAAGGTGCTAAGAATATCAAAGTGAATAAGAGACCATGCAGCCTGTATGGAATGAGTGGATTTTTATAGGAGTCCAGTAGAGAAATGACAAACCACAAATAACCTGGAGTGAAAACAATACTCATTTTACAATAAACTCATATATATACCTCCAATGGTCCTGGATCTGCTCACCAGATGTCACTCAAGTCAGATCAGATTAGGAGAAAGCATACTCTGAAAGCAACTGAGTCCATATACTCAATTTGACTAGGATAAGCCTGAAGCCCAGGAGATACAGATTCAATTAACAAGCTAAATTATCTTGGGCCTTGCACTTAACCTTCCTAACCCTTTGTTTCCTCACCCATAAGTGAGGGGCTCTTGTTCCTTGCTTGTGAAAATTCTATATAAATGAAATTTTATATATATTTGATATTCTGTCAAATATAGGATGTTCTGTCAACCTTTAAATGGTAATGACTCCTTACACTTTTCTTTATAAATCTTTTTGTCATGATATTTCAATTTAATAGTTAATTATCCAGTAAATAAAACTAGAGGCCTATTTAGTGAAATGAAGTACCTCCATTGAATAATCACTCACTAATTTCTGCAGATCGCAAAGTCATGTATTCATATTTCAGATTTTCTTAAAATTGAGTATGCTGTTATAAACAACGTAAAACATGTGTCTAAAGGATGTCATTGATTGAACAATACTTACGTTTTACTCACTGATTCTGTAAAGTCTCTATTTTACGTCTTATTTTTTTTCTACAGGTATAAATACATTTGAAGGTCAATACTTTCATAGCCGACAGTATAAACATCCAGATATATTTAAGGACAAGAAAGTTCTTGTGATTGGAGTGGGAAATTCTGGCACAGACATCGCTGTGGAGGCCAGCCATGTGGCAAAAAAGGTACTATATTATATATATAAAGTTCTTTGGTTTTCTTAGTTTTAAAGGTTTTTATTTCAATTATGATTGCTATTGAACCCATGAATAATTTTTAGTTCTGTATTTTTCAATTAGAGTTGACATTCAATATTATATTAGTTTCAGGTATTCAGCATAGTGATTAGATTTTATATAACTTATGAAGTGTTCCCGCTGATAAGTCTAGTGCCCCTCTAGTGCCATATGTAGTTGTTACAATACTATTGACTATATTCCCTATCCTGTACTTTACATCCCCATGACTATTTTTACAACAGCCAAGAAGGTATCATTCTCAATGTGATTTAATGAAGAACTTCATCTTAAGACACATGTCTCAAGCAAACAGTGTTGGACACCATGATAAATGATGAAAGGAATAAAAATGCCTAAAACGCATATACAACATGAATTTTTAAAGTATTTTTTCCTCAATGATTATAAATTTTACTGCAAATTCTAGGTGGCATCTTTCCTCCAAAACCTACTCCTCAGACTTCCTATTTTTGTTGTTTTCCCAGTCATCCCATGAGACCTACCAGAGGCGTCTGTTTCTTACCCAGTTCCATAGGTCAGACAATCCTGGCAGTTTCTCCTTGCTAAGCTCTCCCATTTGCTCCCTCCTTTTTGGATTACTTGCCACCACCATCATCAGATCCATACCACCTCACACCACAGCTGTGGCATTGTCCTCCTAATAATAATTGTAGAAACAGTTAATATTTATTGGGGTTTACCAAGTGCTTATGTGCTTAAGCACTTATGTGCCAAGTGCTTCACTAAGTGCATTGCCCCAACCAATCACTGAAGCAAGCCACTGATGCAGGTACTGTTAGTACCCTGGCTATAGATAAAGAAACTGAGGCTTAGAGAGGTTAAGAAACCTAAGATCATACCCCTAGCAGGTGGTAGAGCCAGTCTTCAAATCTAAGTCTCTTTCATTCAAAGCCGCTGTCCCTAATTCTACCCTGCACCCACCCCGTCCATCCCCCCAGATGCCCAACCACCAACAAACAAATCCTCTGAAAAGCCTGCTCTTGTTATGACACTCTTATGTTAAAAAATAAAAAAAACCTTCTAATAACTCCCCTATCTAAAATAATAATAATAAATTGTAGATGTATTAGCTCTGTGTTATAGGGTTCTCCATAGTCTGGTCCAAATCTGCCATTTTAACTTTACCCTCGCCCCCCACTACTTTCCTGCACAACATCAACTATAGCCTGACAGGTGTATTCTGAGCCCTTTCCAATCCCGTGCCTCTGTTTCCCCCTTCGATCACATCACATACCCCTTTTGCAGGACCCTTTTCTCTTTCATTACCAATGACATGGACATTCCTAGCTACCTGACCCCAACACAAAGGGATCTCTCCCTAGTAAGAATTGATGTGATACTTGTAATATACACTCCTCAGTTAACACGTTTTAACTCTTACTATTGCTAATTACATTTAACTCTTACTATTGCTATTACATTTATTAACACGTTTTAACTCTTACTATTGCTAATTACACTTATAGTATACATTTTCTTTCCAACTATGCTATAAACTCATTGAGAGCCATTTGGCCAACAAATACATATTAGTTGTTGGCTTCTCATGTGCTGAGTGTTGCACCAGGCACTGGGGATACACTGAAGAACACAACAACAAGTTCCCTCTACCACGGAGCACGTAGTCGTAGGGAGAACAGATGCTGGAAACAAGTATAAATAACTAGATCAATGACTGCAAGAGTGAAAGTAGCCAAATTTTACATAAAGAAAAAGGACTGGGAGTTTATAACTTTGATATTCCCTTCTAAAACTTTCAAATAAAGGACTTGATGACTGATTTGTTGATTGATTGATTTGGAAAGACTTAGCAGTCTGGTGAAGTCATCCTGAAGAAAGAGAAAGGAGGTCCTGAAACAAAAATTAGCATAGTCTCATCCACTATGACCACCACATGTGGGAAGCAGATTATTGGGTCTATGTTTCTAATCACTTGGAAATTTCTTCAGTCAGAAAACATGTGTTGGCACACATCTTATCATTTCTGTATCAACCAAGAAACTCCTCTCCGTTTAAAACAAAATTCATATCTACCAACATGTCCTATCTGATTCTATATCACGACAAAGAGGCAGGTTCAGTACAAATATGTTCAATACAGAATTATTGACATACTCACAACTTTTCCTACATTTCCTGTATTGCATATACTACTCCATTATAAGGCCAAACAGCATATATAATAAAAACACTGACACTGTAGCTCTGGTTGCCACACCCCAGTTTGTTATGGGGGAAGCCATCTGTTAATCAGTTGTTTTGTATCTGCAGAGTAACAGATTCGTGGACTAAATTTTCTTAGTTTTAAACAGTTGTGGAGAGACCAAGATGGCGGCATAGGTAAACACCGCAGACTGCTGCCGCAAACAACCACTTCAAAAATACAACTAAAAGACGGAACGGACATCACCCAGAACCGCAGGAAGGCTGGCTGAGGAGAGACTCTTCAACTAGAAGGAAAAAATAAATAAATAAATAAATAAAAAATAAACAGTTGTATAGACAACTTCTTATTGTGTAGGTACAAAAAAAACAAACAAAAAACAACAAACAAAAAACTATCAGCTTTGTGAATTCAGTCAGCTAGTAAACTTAGTCAATCTATAAATAAAAATAAAGTCCACCAAAACTAACTGTATTACTGAATTTTACTGCCAGTTCAAACAATGGTTTCTGTTGAAATCTTTTCTAGACTCCTTTTAATTGCTGCCACACCCTGTTCTTATTTTCTACAATTATTATAATATGTCTTAAGGCATTTTAATACTCTAGGTACTCAAACCATTATCTCAAAGGAATAACTTTAGAATAGGAGTTGAGGGAGCCAAACTATCTTGTCAGGGATGTATTTTGAAGGTGGCAGACTTTTTGATGTCATTCAATTTATGAAACTTCTCAAATCTCTGGCAGGCCAGCGCTGTTCACTTTGTCAGACTGAGTGACCTCTCTGATTGCTTCCTTCCAGGTGTTCCTTAGCACCACTGGAGGGGCATGGGTGATGAGCCGAGTCAGTGAGTCGGGGCTCCCATGGGACATGCTGTTCATGACTCGATTTCATAACATGTTGAGAAATTCTCTCCCAACTCCAGTTGTGACTTGGTGGATGTCAAGAAAGATAAACAGCTGGTTCAATCATGCAAACTATGGCTTAGCACCAGAAGACAGGTAAATATGATGTATCTGCAGAGGGCTATTAGGAGAAAGAGCCTCCATCCTTCTCACGGCATATCCAAACCAGGCAATAGCATGACAACATGCCTGAATATGAAGGAAAACTTCATACACACTTCCTTGATCATAGTAGCTCGGCGTTTTTGTGTTCTCGGTAAGTAAAATTATGAATTTCACCTTGTCAACAATCTTTAAAGTGAGTATTATTATAATCTCCCCTTTATTGTGGGTAAACTGAGGCTTATCACTTAGTAATAAGTGAGCTCTGTGACCTTAGCAAGTTACTTAAACCTCACCTACAGCAATCCTTCAACATTATCTTGTATTCGTTTCAGGTGCACAGCATAGTGGTTAGACAAACATACTTTACAAAGTGTTGTCCCCAATATTTCCAGTACCCATCTAGCACCATACACAGTTAATACAATATTATTGACTACATCTCCTATGCTGTACTTTACAACCCTATAACTATTTTGTGACTACCAATCTGTACTTCTCAATCACTTCACCTTTCTACACAGTCCCCAATAGCCCCCCACTCCCGCCTCTAGCAACCATCAGTCTGTTCTCTCTATCTATGAATCTGTTTCTATTTTGTTTATTTTTTAGATTCCACATAAAAGTGAAATCATATGGTATTTGTCTTTCTCAGTCTGACTTATTTCACTTAGCATAATACCCTGTGGCTCTATCTATGCTGTCGCAAATGGTAAGATTTCATTCTTTTTTATGGCCAATTAATATTCCATTGTATATATGCACCACAGCTTTTTTATCCAGCTATAGCAATCAAACGAGTGATCTGTCTATGACTCTTTTTTAAAAAAACACCACTCGCTATTTTTTTATTGATTTCAGAGAGGAAGGGAGGAGAGAGTAGCAATCAAACAAGAGTGATTTGTCTATGACTCTTTTTAAAAAAAAAAAAAACACCACTCAAGTTATTTTTTATTGATTTCAAAGAGGAAGGGAGAAGGAGAGAGCGAGAGACATCAATGATGAAAGAGAATCATTGATTAGCTGCCTCCTGCATGCCCCCTACTGGGGATCAAGTCCCCAACCCAGGCATGTGCCCTTTACTGGAATCAAACCCAGGACCCTTCAGTCCGCAGGCTGACACTCTATTTACTGAGCCAAACCAGCTAGGGTTGTCTATGACTTTTTTGACAAAAGCAACATGCTTGCCTTTTTTCACTGGGTAGGAAAAATCAAATCCTATAGTTGCCCTTCACCATCTCTCTAATAGCAGTGCCTTCTTGACCTTGTCAAGATGACCTTAACTTCAGTCTGACCTGTCACCTACAACCTATGACGTATTGTATTATTAAGAAGTAATGGTTTCAATTCCTTATTCATTAGGTTGGTACAATGAGCTTCTATTACTCCCGTCTGAGCTCCCTCCAGATTTAGCTCTGGCCCAGCATGGATCAGGTGGCACCCAAGCCACCATTGACAGCATGCAGTCCCCTTCCTGCTACATACACGTCTTTCCTTTTGCTCCCTTCTTCCTTCTCTCACATATCTTCCTCTTCCCTCCCCTCTATTATCCCCATCTATTCCTTCCTTATCTCTTATCTACCACCCTCTTCTACCTCCTACCTCTGAGCCTCCCAGGGGTTTTGACTCTTTTCATCAGAGCTTTTTCTACCCTTATTTCACTTAGCATAATACCCTGTGGCTCTATCTATGCTGTCGCAAATGGTAAGATTTCATTCTTTTTTATGGCCAATTAATATTCCATTGTATATATGCACCACAGCTTTTTTATCCAGCTATAGCAATCAAACGAGTGATCTGTCTATGACTCTTTTTTAAAAAAACACCACTCGCTATTTTTTTATTGATTTCAGAGAGGAAGGGAGGAGAGAGAGAGACATCAATGATGAAAGAGAATCATTGATTGGCTGCCTCCTGCATGCCCCCTACTGGGGATCGAGTCCCCAACTCAGGCATGTGCCCTTTACTGGAATCGAACCCAGGACCCTTCAGTCCACAAGCTGACACTCTATTTACTGAGCCAAACCAGCTAGGGTTGTCTATGACTCCTTTGACAAAAAGTAACATGCTTGCCTTGTTTCACTGGGTAGGAAAAATCAAATCCTATCGTTGCCCTTCACCATCTCTCTAATAGCAGTGCCTTCTTGACCTTGTCAAGATGACCTTGACTTCAGTCTGACCTGTCACTTACAACCTATGACTTATTGTATTATCAAGAACTATTGGTTTTAATTCCTTATTCGTTAGGTTGGTACAATGAGCTTCTATTACTCCCGTCTGAGCTCCCTCCAGATTTAGCTCTGGCCCAGCATGGATCAGGTGGCACCCAGGCCACCATTGACAGCATGCAGTCCCCTTCCTGCTACATACATGTCTTTCCTTTTGCTCCCTTCTTCCTTCTCTCACATATCTTCCTCTTCCCTCCCCTCTATTATCCCCATCTATTCCTTCCTTATCTCTTATCTACCACCCTCTTCTACCTCCTACCTCTGAGCCTCCCAGGGGTTTTGACTCTTTTCATCAGAGCTTTTTCTACCGTAAGCTTTACCTAGCCTGGGTGGCAGCCCATCTATATATATATAAAAGGCTAATATGCTAAGTGTCCCTCTGTCCATCCGACGGGTCACTATGACCCACAATGACCACCAGGGGGCAGACGCTGCCAAGCTGCAGTGACTTGGCAGCAGCCATTCTCAGGTGACACACCCCAAAACCAGAGAGGAAAGAGCCTGATTCCTCGCAGGGCCACGCAATTCCACCTTCTGCTGTGGGTTATGTTGTTACTGGGGCACTGTCGGCCCCAAATCTGGTTTATTGCACACTTGTGTTTGTGTTCAATGTGCACAAATTCATGCACGGGGTCACCAGTGGGACTATAAAGCATTTTATTTAATCCCATGTACTCCAGAAAATGTGAGAGGAGACTAAGGAATTATCATTCTTTAATTTCCAATGTTCTTACATATGTACTATTTCCTGTGCTCTTCATCCCACCCAATGAACTGATTAGAGGTCATATCCCTGTATGACAGATAAATAAGGCCTAAAGGGACCAAATGACTTTCCCAAACCCTGTTAAATGCAAACAATACTTTGCCTTTTTTATAGCCATATAATCTATAGGAACATTTTATTTTAAATTCAAAATCATTGTAATCAGCTGTTGGATCTCTATTTTTTAATTTATTTTTTTATCACCATTTATCCCCTCTGTGTCCTCTTCCACCTCCACCCATCCCCCTCACCCCCCACTCAGCACACTGCTGTGCATGTCCATGAGTTCTCTTTCTTTCTTTTTTGCTCAATCACTCCACCCCACCCCTAACACCCACCCCCCTCTAGAGCTTTCTGCCTGCTCTCTCTGAATCTGCCTCTATTTTGTCTGGTAGTTCAGATTGTTCATCATTATGATGCTGTCTCTTGCTGTGGATTCACCATAAGCCAAAAATGGCTCGGCTCATTGAAAACCAGTGTTTGTTTAGTGATTCCGAAGGCAGAGCCAGAAAAGGAGAATTCTGCCCTTGTTCCTTTGAAGCGCGTTTCCCTTGTACAATTGGTAGACTCCCGGTCCCCCTGCAGTCCTTCAGCTTTCCGCTGTCTGCAAATGGCAGCGAGAGCTGACGCTGCAATTCAGCAAGCTCCGACCTCCTTCTCCTCAGGCTTCCAAACTCTAGCAAATGTAAGTCATTATCCTGTCCTTCTGGGTCCCTCGTGAGCCCCACAGAGGTAACTTTCCTGTCCCAAAACTGACCCCTCCGAAGGCGGCGGCGGGTGGGAGGCAGGCCCCGGCCCTGGGCCCTCCAGAGCAATGTCAAATACTCGCCTATGCAGGGAGCAGTGACTCCTGAGAGACACCAAGCGCTGAATGAGCAGCTGCTGACAACAAACAAGAGACAGAGACCGCACAGGGAAGGCTGGGAGGCGGGAACCCTCTGGAAGCTGCAGGCCTCCCCACCCAGAGGAACAGGCTGCGCGCGCCATTACGTCCCCTCCACCCGGACAGGGCGGCGGCAGCTCTACTGGGGGCTTTGGCCTACCTGTGGGTTCCCAGAGCACAGTCCCGGCTACGTGGCCTGGAGCCTTTGGTCTTCGAACAAAGGGAACAGGCAGGAGCAGCAGGGTGTCGGCAGCCACCACGCGCC